GATTAGGGCCAACAAGAATGCAATCTAAAATGATGATTTAGATATTTTAAATTTATGTATAATTTAGGACATTCTGGAAAAAAATTAGCAGGATTCCAAGTTAAACAGAGGTATTTGGAGCTTAAGCATCCATGAGGACAGTTCATAATAATAAATGCAAAACATCTGCTAGAAAGGCCATGTGCCAAAAACAATATTATTCTCATACCATAACTACTCATCTGACATAGTATTATTATATATGCAGGCTGAAGACATGCATCTAGAATCAAAGATTTCTCCCAGATGGGAAACCAAAGAGAGGAAAATTTCAATGACGAGTAGATTGCATTGAACAAGAGAATCCTGCCAGTGTGAACGGTGAACCAGAAGCAGAGCCACGTAGCCAGCGACCGGGGAACATGCTGTCCACGGTAAAATGCTTGAACGGCAGACGACGAGTAGAGACTTCTTAAACGAGTACGGACCGGGCCTGGACCGTAGTCTTCTAGCGACACTTGCACACGCTTTCGCTGAAGTTTCGGCTGCTCGACGAGTTGCTGGTGCTAGTGTCAGCAACTGTGTGTTGAATATGACAACGTGTTATTTTAGTCGATGTTGTGGTAGCACTATTGGGATCTCTCATTTAACTAACATATCTATCGTGTTGTGGCATGTGTGCATCGACGGCGACGGTGTTGTTCTCTGTTCAAGGTCCAACGATGGTCATGGCGAGGTCGTGGCCGAATACATGGAATCATGTGTAGTCCACCTTCCACGTGTTTCCTGTGATTGCCTCCGCCTGTTCATATTGAAAAGGTTCTTGATGGGCTTTCAATCATTTTCTACTCCTGTTGTTTCAGTATTCTACTGGTCACTTAAAGCAAATGAGCTGGTGGAGCATCTACAACCGGACACTCACTCTCGAACGTGCGGATAACCCGGTCATTGCCCAGACCGAAAAACGTCATCCAATCGGATCCCTGAAAGACAGCCCAAATGTTCGGGTTGTCCGGCATCTCTCAAATCTAACCCATATGCGGGTGGGATATGGAACGTCCGACACGTACGACAGGTCGGACCTACCCCAAATTCGCTCGAAATTGATCAAGTCCACCAAATCAACCACACTACGCACACGACTGTGCTCCATTTCCCTCGTCTAAGCTGTCGCCCTCCCCCCACCCTTGCTCTCCATCTGCGTCGTCGTCCTCGCTAGTTGTCCGACCTCGACAATAAGGGCCTTGGTTCCCACCGCCGCCATGGATGATAGCTCGGCGAAGTTTGTGGCGCTCCCGACTGTCGCTGCTTGCAAGGCGGAGAACATCTCCCAGAGGAAGCGATGCTCTTGGCAGCGCGTCTGAGAAGCTACAAAGAAGGAACCTACAGAGAAAGAGGTCATAGACATGGACTTAGGCGCGTCTGGTCTTGCGATTGCCTCCACGTCATCCTACCTACCCGCGAGAGGGAACAAGTTGTCTGGCGTTCCCAACTCCGTTCCAACATCCGAATGGGCCATCTTGGATGGCTGGACGTTGGAAGATGCCATTGCGGACACGGTGTACTGCTCAGTGCAACTCCAAAGGCAGCGGATAAAGCCAACATCGGGCATGCCCACGTGTTGTTCGATGAAGTAGTCAACCAAGACATGGTACAATTTGCCCCATATGCCATTGTATTGCTTGCTTTGTTTGTTGCACATACCATTGGATCAATTTAGGAATGGTATTTTAATGTGATGCATATTTTTTTATCAACATGGTAAATGATGGTCAAGAGCCTATGCATTATGGTTTGGGTGATACCAATTCCTTGATGTTGTGCAAATATCACGCACTAAAATAAAAAGGTAGCAAAGGCAAGAGGCTCGGCATTCACAAGCCATGAAGATGTGTTGTTGTGTGAATCTTGGTTGTCCACAAGCATAGATCCAATTTGTACAACCAAACCAAGGGCAAGCCATTCACTTTGCCCCGTTGTTGGTTGAAATTGAATGTGAAACCTAAGTGGCAACTCGCCATTACAGAGCTTGAAAACCTCACCAAGGAGTTGAATAAAAACAATGGCTCAAGCTCCCAACAATCTATTGGGCTGGTTAACGATGATCAGCAAAGTGGAGAAGCGGACGGAAAAGGAACCATGCCAAAGACGAATTGGCAGGTGGTGGGAAACAAGTAGAAGAAGGGGAGGGCCACGTGTGACGGTGCGACAATCAAAATGTCCGTGATGGGCATTTTTTACGCCCAAGAGGAGCAAAAGGGGCGAGGTACAATATCTTCTTGGATGTTCAAAGGGAGATGATGTTGTTCGACCGGGAGAGGGTGAAAGATAAGATGAGCATTGAGAGGGGGAAGATAGATTTGGGGAAGCAAGAGAAATGTGCAAAATAGGAGCTTAAAAAGAAGAAGACAATACAAACAACTGAGCTCGACAAAGAGAGGTTGAAGCTTGCAAGGGGCACCGAGGATCCGAGGATCATATTGCACGACGCTAGCCTCTTGAACGAGGAAAGCAAGAAGGGGCTACACATGAAGAAAAAGGAGATCAACCCGCAAAGAGAGAGGAGAATGATTCATTCTTGTATCGCCTATCTATGAGTGGTTAAATTTTATTTTGGCATGTGTTGATTTATTTGCTTTGCCGAATTGTTGAATTGGTGATAAAGTGATGTTATATATGTGATGGAGGTTCATGGTTTTGCATGAATATGTGGGGTATGGTTGTCTGGGAGGACAGATGAGGGCTGGTCGGCGCTGTCTGCAGGCGCATGCACACGTCCGCGAACGTTTAGGGGGTCGAATTTGCCCAATCCGGTGGTCTTAGAGCCACGAAACTTCCCATATAGAAAAATACTTTTATTTATATGGAGCAATTATGTTAATGAAACACATAACTAACAGTTAATAGGGGATTAGAAGAACCCTAACACACACCAAATCACCACCTACACCTAGTCAAGACTTGCATTGCTTTATCAAATGAGTTTTATTAGCGCAAAGGTCATGTCAAAACGATAACAAAAAATGAGTTCAGCACCCACTCTCTACAAAATAAAGATCTACACATACATGCACAACTACACACATGACGACGTTCATAAGCTCCGAGCGGTGTGGATTAGGTCTAATCCTTGACATAGGGTTCATGCATGTCCCTCCCAAGTTTGTGTATTCGTGTCTATTCTTGGTCATGTTGAGATCCCAAGCGTTTCGCTAAGGATTCTCTCACCAGTTTCGCTTATCTTAGAGCATGCCCAACCATGGCATCCTTGATCCCTCATACCCCAACAGGGGGGCAAGCATGCCCAACCATGACATCCTTGTCTGGACAATCAAGAACATTCCCTCTTACTGCACGACAACTATTCAGTCAGTGTGGATTGTTGAATAT